TGCTTCAATTGTTTGTACTTGAACTGCTCCCAAACTATAAACAATAGTTGTTTAGACTTACTTTGTGGAAATAGTGTTGTCTTTTTTAACTGTTTGTCAGCAGTCATTTCATAACTCTCCCATATATTTCTTCTTTCTCTACAGCATATCGTGGAGTTCTGAGTAGTCCAGTAAAGGCTGTACGAGATTCACTGATAAATCAGTGTGCCCAGATCCTAGCTTGCTATCGAAAAAACTGTGCTAGTCCATCTTCTGCTGGCCAGGTGAACTCTGATGCTTTAATTTGAATCATGGACTCAGATACTAAAATGTGATTTTAGCTTTGTTTTGTCAGGCATAAGCCTACTCAGCAAGATAACTGAACATCTATATGCTTGTGACTTGTAGCTCATTCTTCCTGAATGCATGAAGCTGCTTCCTGTGTACTTGAATTGTGTGTTGAAGAGTGACGTCCTTCAGCCTGGTCCAGAGGTCACAACAGATGACCGTGCCTACATTCGTCAGTTAGTCACATCCATGGACGTGGCAGAAACAAATGTTTTCTTTTATCCCAGGCTTTTGCCCCTGGTGAGTAATTTGAGACGTTCTTAACTTGAACTTGAGATTATCTTGACTTGAGATTTGCTGTTGTCTTGACTTGTCCTAATGACTGGCATTTGTTTTTTATCAATGGAAAGCCATTTGAGAGGTATTTAGGATCTGGCATCCGTTGAGATGCTTCAGTTAATTTCACTCAGTGATGGATGTATTTCTGGTCTTGTGAATTTGTAGAAGGATTTGCTCTGAGCTGTGAGCATGTAACTAGAGGCATGGAAAAATCTTTTAAATCTGTGGTAGCTTTTTTCTTAAAAAAAATTCTAAGGCTTTTTGTAATATTGCTGTAATTTTAATTGTTGCAGGGAAATTACTCTTACTATTCTCACTTTCCAGTATTGTAGTTGCTGAAATAACAATAAATACCAATTACATTCATGCTTCAGGAAACAGTATTGAAACTACAGATTACTTCCAAAGCAACTTCTGTTTTCTTTTGTTAACCAGTAGTCTCTTACCAGTGTCTTGTTCAATAAGAAAACTAGTCAAGAAAGATGATACTTCAGTCACAGCTACTGCAATGTTATAAACATTAAAAAACCACTAGGGTCTTGTGGCAGAAATTTTCCAGACTTCCTAAATGTTTTTGTTTTATAACTGTGATTTCTTTACTTCACTCTAAAACAGACCAAAGCAGATGTTGACAGTGACTCCTTACCGGCAGCAATCCGAAACTCAGAGGAACGTCTCTCCAAGGGTGACATATACCTGCTGGAGAATGGGCTGAACATCTTTGTGTGGGTGGGAGTGAACGTGCAGCAAGGCCTGATCCAGAACCTCTTTGGAGTGTCATCCTTCAGTCAGATTAGCAACACCTTGGTGAGCTGGCTGGCAGTGTGGGAGAAGCTGTCTGTGATAGTAGCACAGTAGCTGAAACATTAAGAAAGCAAGTTGAGAAAATAGTTTTAACTTTTTTGTGTTAGTTACAGTGAGAAGCATGGGTGTGTGAAACTAGTGGAGACATCCAGTCTGAGCATGAACACTTCTTTTTGCCAGCTTAACCTGGCAAGCCACATTGCCACTGGCAATAAGGAGAACAGCTGGTACAAAAATGATCAATCTTTAGTTTTGATACCATATGATATTTTCTTTTTTAATAGCTGAAGTCAAGGAAATTGTGACAGTAAATATATTTGCAACATTAAATAATATGCCAATACTGCTGTGTTTTCTTTTTTTTAATGCTGTTATATTTCTCCACCTGACTGATGGGGATTGGATGTCTTTCATTCCAGAGTACCCTGCCTGTCCTGGAAAACCCCTTTTCAAAGAAAGTACGGTCTATTATTGACATGCTTCACCTGCAGAGATCCCGATACATGAAGGTAAAAATGCTGATTGTTATTCATAGCTCTTACTCACCTTCTTTTTTACTGCTAGCAAAGCAGGTGATGCTAATCCTGTTCATGTAAAATCTAATGCTGAACACAGTCTTAACAACTGTGATTCAAACATACATGTTTTTTCAAGGATCTGAAAAAAAAATCTGATTTTAGAGTTCATGCTTACCATAGCTCTACAGATAATGATTTTGAATCTAATTATACTTCTCCACAAACTATGTATGTAGAGTTTTCTTTATAAATATGATTGATACTTAATACAGCACAAGTATGAAAATGAAAGCACAGAAGCTCTATTTGCTATGTTTTTAGTTGTCTTGAGTGTGTTTTGAGCTATCTAGGTTTTTTTTTTTTTTCCCCAAGAGCATGAATTGTGCTAACTATCATGTTTTTGTTTGTAGTTAATAATTGTGAAGCAAGAAGATAAGCTGGAAATGCTCTTCAAACATTTTCTGGTGGAGGATAAGAGCCTAACTGGGGGGGCTTCATATGTGGACTTCCTGTGTCACATGCACAAGGAGATTCGGCAGCTACTGAGCTAGAGGAAGGAGTGGTGCTGGAGCTCAGCAGTGACATTTCAGTCTACTCTAATGATCTGATCGGAAGGTCCAGCGCCCTCAAAAAGGACAACATAGAAATCTGTACAATTCCATAATTTTTAATACACATGACATAAGCAGAAATCCTTTCAACCTCTCCTGGTCCCATATGAGAGATGAATTCTTTTTCCTGGTGAGGGCTAAAAAAAAAAAAAAAAGGGCCTTTGATACCAGGTCTTTTACTTGTATCTAAATTGTTTCCTGTGCTTGGCAGGAGTTCACCCCCCACCCACCCCATGCTCGCTAATCCCGTTGTAATGAATGTAGTTTTTTTTTTTTTCAGTTCTCTGTACATGATTCAACATTGGGTGAAAAAGCGATAACTTCAAAATTTCTAGTAGTTGCTGTGTTTGTATGGGTGTGTGGGCATGCTCTTACTGTAAAGAGGATGCACAGGTTGGGAGGGCAAGAGGCAGGTCAGGTGATGGGAGCTGGAGCAGCCAAACATTT